AAAAAAAAAAAACAATTAAAAACTCTATCGAGTATGTTCGTAATAATCTCTTGTCAAGTGGAAATAAGCGTATTTCTGCTACAGGTATGGTGCGGTAATTATACGAACGGCGCGTTAAAGTCGAAATTAATCGAAGGAGTACACGCGCCTAATCACTTCAGAGTCATCGGAACCTTATCGAACAATCAGGATTTCGCCAGAGCATGGAATTGTCCTGTTGGAAGCCCGATGAATCCGCCTCGCAAGTGTATTTTGTGGTAACCGAATACGCCGAGCTTGGACCGTGCGGACGACTCTGTACGCGCTTTTTAACGCGCACGCTCTCGAATATACATATTTCTAATATAGATATTTCCTTCGATTCTAAGCAGACTTATTTGTAACTTTTAGGAACTAACGCGTAACTCAACATCAAATATTTTTCTATTCAATTTTTCCTTCCATAAATATTATACGGAATACGGAATGCGAATACAATTTAACGAGTTGAACGCGGCCACCTTGTCGCCATCGTTCATTTAAGATTCATTGTTTTTTCTTTTTTTTCTTCAAAATTGTTCCGCTCTCTTCCGCGTTTGTATCCTTTTTTCTTTTTAGACGCAGAACATCCTGGTTATCGATCTCTTTCGATTCTAAAATACTTTTCTTCGCTGATTTCAACTTCTTAGCAGGTATATTATTATTCTCTTCGACGGGTATCGATCGTTTCTTTCTTCGCTTATTTTTATTCCAAGTAACATTTCCGTTCTCGTTCTCCGACAACCTGTTTCTCTTTTTCGGGGCATCGTCCGAAATGATCGTATCTAAGTCTTCGCTTTTTTTCTTTTTTAATAATGATTTATTTTTCTTTTTATCCGGCGCATTCGAGTCTTGTCCCTCCTCTATGCTCCTCTTTTTCTTCGACTTTTTCTTTTTGCTGATCGAACTTATTTCCCAATCGTTCTCCTCCTTTTCAACGATAACTTCTTGGCCAATTTTAAATCTGTTCTTCCTCGGAACCTCTACTTCCTCTTCGGCTTTAATCGTCGCGTCGTCGTACAGACTTTTGTACGGCATCGCGAGGGACAAACAAGTGATTCTGGCACCGCAATTAACGTTTTGCAACATGCGTAATTTATGCTTACCATACCTCCAAAGCTTAATTTCTCCAGAACTAGAAGCTGTCACTAATAAGTCGTCCTTAAAAGCCATACATTTAACCCTGGTATCGTGCGCAATTGCTTCTAGGGTTTGCACTGATTTTTCGAGATCGTAAAATTTTATTTGACCATTCTCCAATCCAACCGCGATCAAATCGTCTCTCAAAAACTCTACGCAAACTATCTTTGCGTTAAATTTGATTTCGCTACCGATCCCTGCCAACTCTACCGAATATACGTCTATTCTTTGATTAACGGCGAGTAAGTACTTTTCACCGTTTGGACTCCACTTAAGAATATTAACGTTTTTAGCGTCCAATTTTAATCTTGGTACTAGATTTGTCGCGTACGCTTGTCTTCCTTTAATTAAATTCCATGTTCGAAGAATACCGTCTGCTCCGGTAGACAGAGCTATTTTTCCTGTCGGATGAATAGCTAAAGTATTAACGCCTAATCCTTTATGCGCTTTCTGCCAATGCTTTTCCATTTGCCAATTACCGCATTTAATGGCAGCTATAGTTCCATCGTTGCTGCACGTAAAAAGATGAGATGCCTCTGGGGTAAACGCAACGCAATTAACGGTATCTATAGAGAAAAATATATTAATTTCTCGACGTATACGCTAATATAATTATTTACTATCGTATGCATACGCGTTTATACGTACCGTTGTGATGCATTAATCTGCCGGACTCTATCCTATACCGCATATCGTATAGGTAAACCGAATCGTCTGCGCCGCCAGAAGCTAAGTAATGTTTATCGCTTGCGACGCTGCGTACGCTACTCGTATGATTATGAGTTGCAAACGTTCTTTCCATTTTATACTCCTGCAAGTTCATCGATTCGTTATTCGGTAGTAATACGCTTAACAAAAGATAATATGCGCCTTAACAAAAGACGCGACTGTAAAATATAGGTTATATTTTTGGTAACGACATAGAAAAAGATGTTCACTCACGTTAACGATATTATTTACTTTGTAACCGAGCAAGAACTGCTCGTACGTTCCTACCACTATTTCAAATGGATCCGGCATATTTAAATCTTAATAACTACTTTACGAGAAACTAAAATATCTTAACACGAGGTACAACTTCTCGACCATCAACAACTACATTGCCAATAATCACGATATTTCGAGAATATCCTTTACTAAAAATAGATGTCGCTATCGTGTCGTTATTCGCGTCGTTGTTCCCGCTCAATTTACAACTACTCATTTCCCTCGAAAATATTATCTCGAAAAAATCTTTTATATGAACGCATTTTAGTTGAAATTTAAAGCATTTTTACTGCAGAATGTTTCTTTGCAAACGATTCAGACACTGGTTAGCAACTAGTATAATAGATGACGCCAGCGATAGCGTTCGGGAAGCGCGAATTAATATGAACGTTGGAAAATATGGAAGTGCGAATTAAATTTATTACTTTACTAGAACATATTATTTTTACGAGTCGACGAATCGACAAAAGTGTTTGAAACTAATCTTATAGAGTATATGTGCATAGGTAAGAGAAGAGGAATCGAGATAACATGCGATTACGAACAAGTATCAAATATTTATAACATTTCTAATAAACGTACATATTTTCCGTATGCTTGAATCCTTTATTAATTTATGCCAAAGTGCCTTATCCATGCATATCTCTCTGTTATCAGTGGTCACGTATTATCTTTTGCGTAACATTCCAGAGATAATAATGCTTCTGTCTATAAATGTTTATGTAAGATGATAAAAAGAAGAGAAGTTGACGTGGGTCGATACTTGAGTGTTTCGAGGATGCTGCAGAAAAGTAATATCGTTATATAATATACGATATTCGAAACATATTGCTACTTGGAAACTAGTCATTGTATTTTCAGCAGAATCGCACGTATATACAAACAATGGAAATAATAATAACCGAAATTGATGTAACCGACATCAGGTTCCCCACATCTCTCTTAGCGGATGGTAGCGATGCTATGGTAAGTGGTAACTTTTTCTTTCCTACATAAACCGCGATATTCTGTTTTCTCTAGAAGAAATCTTATTCGACGTAAATAAAAACACTCATGGTTGCATGGTAAATTGCAGCATACCGATCCAGATTATTCGTGTGCGTATGTGACGATAAAAACTAATAAAGGAATCGAGGGTTACGGGCTGACGTTCACGTTGGGCAGAGGAACAGAAATCGGTAATTATATTTAACTATACATATTAAACGATACGTACACGTTAAAAAATATAACGAGTGTGCATAATTTTTTGATCAGTGGTTCAAGCGTGCAAGTCAATGTCGTATTTGATCAAAGGGCAAAATGCTATTGAAATCTTTGCAAATTTTGGATCATTTTGGAGAAAGTTGACTAGCGAATCGCAATTGAGATGGGTAATGTAACATGCACACGAATTCTAATTAAGCACGCATGCTTATTGTTCGTTCGTTCGTTCGTTCGTTTGTTTAAACGATAGATCGGACCCGAGAAAGGCGTCACTCATCTTGCTACAGCAGCTATAGTGAACGCGCTTTGGGATCTGTGGGCTCGAATCGAAAAGAAACCTGTGTGGAAGCTACTTACCGATTTAACTCCGGAACAACTAGTCTCTACCATAGATTTCAGATACATGTGAGATGCGTGTTTAAAAAATTTTTAATCGAGTCGCTTTGTCGATTTCGTTCATTTTCTTTTCGGGTTTTCCACAGCACCGACGTTATTACGAAAGAAGAGGCGATCAAATTGCTGAAAGATAACGAAAGCGGAAAAGTGAAACGCGAAGAAACTTTGCGAAAATATGGATATCCAGCATATACAACGCAAGTTGGATGGCTCGGATACAGCGACAGTAAAGTGAAAGAGCTCTGCAAGAAATTTTTAAGCCTCGGTTTCACATCGTTCAAGGCGAAGGTTGGTCAAAACTTAAAAGACGATATAAGGAGATGCCGGATGATACGCGAAACCATAGGATACGATAATAAATTGATGTTGGATGCGAATCAAGTTTGGGACGTTAACGAATCGATCGAATGGATGAAAGAATTGCTGAAATTTAAGCCCACGTGGATCGAGGAACCAACGTCTCCGGACGACGTGTTGGGACACGCCAAGATCGCGGCCGAATTAAGACCGTACGGTGTTGGTGTTGCCACCGGTGAAATGTGCGCTAATCGAGTAATGTTTAAGCAATTGTTGCAAGCGAAAGCGATCGATTATTGTCAAATCGATTCGGCCAGAATCGGAGGAATTAACGAGATATTGGCCGTTTATTTGATGGCGAAGAAACTCCAAGGTAAGTGTCGAATCGATAATTACTCTTCTATCGAAGGAACACGAAATAAATATTTTTCGTATCAGTTCCAGTGTGCCCGCATGCAGGAGGAGTAGGTCTATGCGAAATGGTTCAACATCTTCAAATGTGGGACTTTATTTCTTTGAGCGCATCCACTGAAAATCGTGTGATAGAATATATCGATCAACAACACGAGCATTTTGAGCATCCAGTGCGCGTACAAAATGCTTGTTACATGCCACCCGACCAGCCTGGTTATTCGACTAAATTTAAAGACGACTGCGTCAGAAATTATTCGTATCCGGATGGAGAACAATGGCGATACATGTACGATAAAGGACTGTTTCAATGATCGTACAACTAACACGAATCAAGTATCGATGTACAAACGTTCTATTAATCGTACACTCTTATTTTTCTTAATACGAGTATATACTTTTTGTAAGATTCAAATATTTCGGTGATTTTTAAAGCACGCCAAATGGTGCAATTAATAATAAACTATGTTAATATATCTTGAAACAAAGTCTTTTACCTCGTAAGAATGTTACGATCGTTTTCTTGCCCTCGATTAACTATAGAGATCCTTAACCTTTCCATTTTACGGATGTTTTAAACTCCTAACAGTAAACTACAAAATTTACTGCATATTACATGTTGGCTCGAAGATAAGACTTTACGTAATCTACCTATAAAATTCATCGATATTATGTACATACACAAGAGGTAAGTAAATAGGTTTGCCAAATTTCTAGACAATACGTACGCTTACAAACCAATACGAATCTGGTTTAAACATAATCCTTTTAATGATATTTATATTACTTATCGGAGAAATAATATGTAAATGCAGATGATGCACCGTATTAAATGGTGGCCAATGAAATCCTGTACGAGTATCCGATGGATCTAAGCCTTGCATTTCAAATATCCTTTCCATCGTACAAACAATTTTGTCATCTGAAATTGTCAAAATATCCCTGTTGAAACAACTATAAAGTTGAACCCTTACGAAGGTGCAATTTCTTCAGACTTACAAAGTTCAGCATCCGTCGGTTTAAGTTCTTTCGCGTTGACTATATGCTTCTTTGGTAATATCAAGTAATGATGCGTCGAGGCTGGATAAATATCTTTAATGCATACCACGTCATCGTCCTATGAAACATATTTTTAAGAATTTCACAGTTAACCTTAAAAGTAGAAGGAAACAATAACCCCTGTCCATGTAATCAGTAAATCGATATTGAACATAAAAAATCTATTGAATTATTCTCGTACGCTTATTCGATCCTTATTAATCATATTGGGCAATTAATTAAGGTTAATTGTTTTATACCTCGTATATTTTTTCGCTAGGTGCTTTGTCATCGATAATCTTACAAAAAATGCAATTGTCCACGCGATTCGCCATATAAGGTGCTATAATTAGATTACGCTTGCTTTTAATGTCAGAACTGTTTCCTCGATATTTTAAATAAAGTCTTTAAATTAGGTGACAAAATTACAATAATGAAAATTTCCGACTTTCTATACTAACGCCATCTAGCGAACGGGTACCAGAAGTAACTTTTAGTATCAGGAGCGCAGAAAAGTAAAAGAGGTACGCGGAGTAGAAGGTATCCCGCGCACATAGTGCGCATGCGCAATACAGGTTATAAAGTAACCCCTTATAGAGAGTGAAAAATCATTAATTACTCACTTTCTGAGCACAGTCTATGAACTTTTAT